CTAGAGTCAAGGACACTGCAAACACAGCTGCCTTGGCCTGGTCTGCTGGGTTAACAACTCTGCTCCACCAGCCCTGCCCATGGTCTCGAGGTAGGGAGGAGGAGGGGTTGGGCGGGCAGAGGTGGGCCTAGTCAGGACAGTGGCTGGTCCCCCTCTCAGGAGGTGGGCAGTGGTCAGTCAGCATCCTCAGTCAGCTGTCCTACAGGTCCAAGGAGCCCCTCCTGATCTCACTTGTTGGCAAACTGTCCATGTCCCTCCTGCCCCCCAGAGGGCTCCCCCCAGGTCCCACTTCTGACCTGCATTAAGGAGGACAGAATCCCTGTGTGTGGTGTCCTCTAGTGTGACATTGAGAAAACTGTTTCCTTTTCCCTCCTCACTTGCCATGCTGGGGCAAGGGGTTGTTTAGTCTCTGGGTACAAATGAGGAGCCTGGCCCCGGATGGCGGGTGACTTGGCCTCGGCCTAGGCTGCTGATGACACTGGAATGGCCCATGCCAGCTCAGCAGTGGGGACAGTGAAGTAGGGGGACAGGCTGGGGCAGCAAAGGCAGTCTGGAGAGCAAAGGGCAGCTCCCAGCCGAGTCCTGCCATGGGGCCCAGCACCAGCCACCCTGCCCTGGCTGCATTCTTGCTTCTGACACAGGAGGGGTGGGCAGCAGGGGCTCACCAGGACAGCGATGGCTTCGGGCAGGGGCCCACTGGTCTTGAGGCTTTCCTTGGCGTCCTCCACCACATACTCCCACTCTAGGCCCATTGCCAGGAAGGTCCGGCTCGTGGTGTCCTTGCCCTTGGGGTTGAGGATGAAGCTGCCTGTGACCTGGTTCTTCACCGCTGGGCGGGGGGAGAGGGTCACACAGATTTCTATTCCCCTCGACGGGCGCATGAGCCAGTCCCTCCTAGGGGGCCCGTGAATATGACATTCAAGACTTTCCCAGAGGGACCCTTGGGCCACCCCTGCCTACCTGCCTCTCCTCCCACCTGAGCCCTCCCCAGTCAGTCAGGTCACCATACTGTCCCCAAAGACACCATCCCTGCCTCTGGATCCTGGCGTACATCATCTCTCACACTACAGTAATTGTTCTTAATTTTAATTCTATTGATTTAACTTTTGGGGGTGTTTAAAATTCTAATCGGTCTTGGCTTTACTGTGTAACCTTTATAAGCATAAAGGGTAGACACCTAGTTAGTGACTATGTGTTAAGTATCATTATAATAGAATTAATTTAAGGGCCCATGTGGTAGACTGCAAAAATGGCTATAAATCTCCCATTCCGGTATAGTGCCCCTTTTGTACTTTGACTTTACCACTGTTTCCATCAAGAGAGAGTCTGTTTTTCTACTCCTTGAATCTGGGCTTGACCATGTGACTTGCTTTGGCCAATGGGACATTAGAAAACATGATGCAAGCAAAGACTTGAAAAGTGTACACTGGTGCTTGCCTTCTCTTGCTACTCCCGAGGATCATGTGACATATACTATGTAAATAATCCCAGGCTGGCCTGCCAGAGACAAGGCCCTGTCACCCCAGCTGACAGCCAGTACCAACAATCAGACATGTGGGTGAGACTATCCTAGACCAACCCTCAACAGACCCGCCTGCTGACTGCATTCTCATAAGCGAGTGCAACTGAGACTAGCAGAAGAATCACCCAGCAGAACCCAGCCCAAATTGCTGACTCACAGAATCACAGCAATAAACAATCATTATTTGAAATCATTAAGTTTTGCGGTGGTATGATATGCAGTTCACTTTAAAACGGTTAATTTAATGTTATGTGACTTCACCTCAATTTAAAAAAAAAAGTTAACTGATACAGTCAGTGAAAATGGTTTTTCTTTAAAAAGCATCCATGTGCTCAAGAAACTGGTAACAGTGGTTGCCCTGGGGAAGGAAAGTGAGAGGCTGGGGACAGGGCCATGAGGTGGATTCTTCACTGGATCCCCTTTTATACCTTTGAAATGTGAACCATGTGAATGGGTTACCTACTCGATATCAATTTAAAAATAAATTTTAAAAGAGCCTCTGCCCATTATTCAAGTTTGCAAAATCCCTGTGCACTAGAGTCCTGTCCTGTCCAGTGAACCTCCTCAGACGCCAGCACTCACCAATGCGGTGGGGGACCTTCTCCAGCTCCTGGATCAGAATGTGCCTGGCGCCCGCTGGAATCTGCACCAGCTTGAGAGCTCCTGCCAGAGAGGAAGATCCGGAAGAGAAGAGAGCACTCTCAGCTGAGGGACCTTCCACACAGTACCCTATCCCCGGGTACCCAGGGCTCTAAAGCTCCAGGAAACATTTCATTTGATCACCGAACCTCTCTGAACCTCAGTTCCCTCATCTGTAAAATAGGGTTGGGACCTTCTCCACAAGGCTGTTGTGAGGATCAAATGAGATGTTCTAGTTTAAAGTGCCCTGTAAACTCGAAAGGGCTGTACGTGTGTGTGTTGGTTGCTATTATTTCCCATTTTCTTGACCCTCCTCTTTCTCTCACTTCTGCCCTTTCCCCTCCTTTCTTCTTCCCGGACTTCTTGTCTCCTGTTTTTTCTCAGACCTCAAACCACTGTAGGATTTGGAGGAGGCAGGCTGTGAAGACTCAGCAGGGCTGCCCTGGCCCCATGGCCCTCCCCACCAGAGGCCTGGAAGTTAGCCCTTCTCAGAGTCACCAACCTTGCCTCCGCCTCCTACAAGAAGAGGCAAGGCAAAGCTGTAACATCCCCAAACGGGAAATATTCAGTTCATACTAAAGTGTAAAGGACTAATCCCTGGCCCTTTTCAATATCAAGTTTGGCTAGATTGGAGTTGAAAAAGGAAGTCAGAGGCACCAGGTGTTCAAAGCAGGAGGTAATACAGGTCTAAAAAAAAAAAAAAAAAAAGGTGAGGGAGAAGAGAGAATAAAATTACCAGTCCAGCCTGGGCTGCACCTTCAGACCTGTCTGATCCCTCACTCCCACCAACCACCCAGGAAGGAAGAGATGGTTGAGCTCCTAGCACAACACATCACCTAGCAGAAATACGCATCTCTGAGCTACTAAGCCCCAAATGTGGGCAGCAGCACATCCAGAAGATGAGGTCACTAGCTGTAACTCCCAGCTCACACTGGCTCCAGGGCCCCTTCCTGCCAGCTCAAGGAGGAGGGCCCACCTGAGGGACCCTGGCTGGGCCAGAACTGCAGTGCCTCCTCCTGGCTGCCCCCAGCCCATGCCCGCAGCCTGCTCACCTGCCTGCTTGGAGGCCTTGCCCAGCGTTCCCTTCACGGTCCTGCAGTGAGAGTTGTCACCACCGCACACTCCACACTTGTCATCTGCCTTCATTGACCCAACCTCCTTGTCACAGCCGACGGGCTGAGGCCAGAGGTGAGGTCAGTGGGAAGAGGTCCCCTGCCCACCGTGGCCCCTCCTTGCAGCCCCCAGACCCCAGCCATCTGATGGTAGTGTACCCGTGCCCAGCCATGAGAGTGAGAGGAGCCCCCGACCAAGAGCATCTCTGAACAGGCTCTCTGCGAGCTCGCCACGACAAGGGCAAGGCCTTGAACCTGACGTGGTAATGGTTCCTGCTGGCTCCTCTCCCCTCGAATGGGGCTGAGCAGTAACCCCTTTCCAGCATGCCAGGGTTCTGAGGATCAAAGGGGTGTCACGGTGGGGAAGGCGAGGCAATGGTCACCTAGCTTGGGAGCAGAAGCAGGGGCAGGCCACACAGCCCTCCCGGTCTCCACGTACAGGCAGAGGGTGGGCGCTGGGGGTGGGCACCTACCACGCACTCGCCACGGGCGCAGAGGCTGTAGGGGTCTCGGTAGCTGCAGCGTGTCCCGTCATGGACCACCTGGTTCATGAACACCACGTCGCCTGTGTCCACCGACTGGCAGATCAGCTCACATTTCTGGGCATCTATGGGGAAAGCAGCCACCCTGAGCCCCCAGCTGGGCTCTGAGGATGGGGGCTGGCCCAGGAGGACACTGGCACTTGGTCCCCACAGGAAGCCCAGGGCCAGCTCGGGCAGGGGCGGGAGCAGTGGCTGTGGAGTTGGGAGTTAAAAATCCCTGCTACGTCACTTATTTACTAGCCATGTGACCTTGGGCAAATTGTCTGGCGTCTCTGAGCCTCAGATCCCTATTTTTAGTATCTCTGTTCAGCAAAATGCCACAGCAGGTTATTGAGAAAAATCAAATGATAAAATAATAACAACAACAAAGGAATAAGCCAACACTAAGTGAATGCTTACTGTGTACCAGATACTTCCAAAGCTGTACACACCCTTGACATACCTCTTTAAATGCCTTTCATGAATTAACTCATTTAAACCTCTCAGAATTCCAAGAGGTTGGGTCCAGGATTACAGAGGAGGAAAATGAGGACCAGAGAGGTTAAGGAACTTTCTCAAGGCCACACAGCCACACAGTAAGTGGTGGAGGCAGGATTCTAACCCAGGCAGTCTGCTTGAGTCCTGCTCTGAAGCCTACATATACTTCACTGGTCATGTGTATGATGGAGAGTGTGTCTGAACATGTCTAAACATTAAAAGGCCCTGTGAAAGTAGGTAGAACAGTGGTCTGTATTCGGGTTTTTAAAATGGAGTAGCAATGAGGGAGGAAAGAGGGCCCTTTCCGGCTCTAACAGTGAAATGTTCTCTTCTCTATCTGGGCTATTGATATCCTAAAAAGGAGAATCCAGAGAACATATAAACAATTGCTATGCTTTTTAGAAAAAAAGGAGGGTGGGGCTTAGCTAACTTCCTGGAATTTGTCTCAAAGTCCTGGGAAAAGCTCAAACCCAGCTGCCCCACTGGCCTCTGAGCCCTTTCCCTACCCATGTTGCGGTTGCTTGTTTGGGTTCTGAGTGGATCTGGAAGGCTTTCAAAGCAAGCCCCTGCCTCAGTAAGATTTCAAAGAATGGCTCCCTGTTCCTGGTCCCTGGGATCCTGTGATACTTGGTGACTTCTTGCCTCCAGCACTAGGGACTCAAGCCACTACATCCAAAGTTGCCTGGATTTCATGCACAGGCAGCAGACTCCTGGGGGGCCTGGGCTGGGTGAGGCTCAAACCCACCAGAACTCAGGCAGGCCTCTGACCAGTGCACCCTGGGCAGACAGGTCTCTGGTTCGCAATGGAAGCTGGTGGCAGTGGCAAGGGGTTGGTGAGCTCCCCAGAGTGGGAGGAATCCAAACAGAGGGAGGCATCCCCTGCAAGGATGCTCTGGAGTTTGTGCCCTGGCTTCAAATGGACAATCTTCCCACTGGAAGATTCTGTGTTGCTAAATGAGAGGTAAAGAGCTTAGGGCCCTGTGGTATGATGCTTTGCAGCCAGGGCTACGAAGAGGCTCCCCAGGCTCAGGAGAGGCAAGGGGTTCTAACCGGAGCTGTCTGAGGCTGAGGGCTGCGGGGTAGATGGATGAGTGTTCATCCATAAGGGCCCAAGAAAGGCTGGGGAACTGCTCCTCAGGGCCTCCTGGCCAGGAGCGAAAGAGGTGGGATTAGGTGCCATTAAAGTCCCTTCCAGTCTGAAGGCTCGAAGACACCATGAATCCCAGCCCTTCCCCGGCTTATCTTGGCCACTCTGGGAGCCACCTCTGGAGATGCTTAAAACCAGGTGGCAATGGCACCAGCATGGACCCAAGTTTAGAGCCTCTCTGCGTGAGTCCCAAGGCCTGTGTCTATCCCAGCACAGCCCAGAGGGCTCGGCAGAAGAAACCCACAGGGTCTCTTCTGCCTGTGTTTCAAATCACCTTCAATGTTACTCAACAGTTGCTCAAACAGTAACCCAATTTTACCAGTCACCGTGGGGTCGACTCCGACTCAGGCGACTCCATGTGTGTCAGAGTCGAACTGTGCTCCATAGGGTTTTCAGGAAGTAGATCACCAAGCCTTCCTTCCAAGGCACCTCTCGGTGGACTCGAACCGACAACCTTTCAGTTAGTAGCTGAGTGCATTAATTATTTGTACCACCCAGGGGAACCAATTAGTAACATAATTTGTGAAGCCTAAAATAACAATATGTAACAGGACTGAGTTTTCCAGGACCCTGGTTGTGTAAAGTGAGGGGTACTCCCACCTGTACAGTGCCATGGGCAAGTAAGGACAGATGTCTGAAAGCCACCCAACCCCAACAGCCAGCAGTGCTGCCTGCATCCATGGCACCTCAGGGTGAAGTGTCCTTTCCTCAAGACAGGCAGTCCCCAGTTACAGATGTTCTACTTACACAGACAAGTCTACTGGCCCTTTAATGTTATGTAAATTTGCCCTCGCTTTGAAATGACTGAATCAACCCTTACTCACAGCAAATTCTTGATCACAAGCACCTCCTGCTGCATGGGCAGCTTTTAAATCATTGAAAAGGCTTCGAGCCTTCTTTTGCACTAAAGTAAGGCTAAATAAGAACCATATGCACCTGTTCCGACTTACCCACAAGTTCGACTTAAAGACTTAAAGACACAGTTAGGAACGGATCTCGTTCATAACCTGGGGACTGCCTGTACTCACATCTGCTAGGAACTGTCATAATAAATGTACAAGTCAAAGACGACATTGATGAAGACAGTGCCCCCAGAGGTAAGCAATGAACAGGCCGTATAATGGTACATGGTAACCTGCCTACTTCAATGTCCCTTTCAATGCCCCGACTGTCCCTCCACCCTCACTGGTAAGTCCAGGCAGGTTCCCAGCTGCTGTAGCTGGAAAACGGTGGGAGGCCCTGCTTGAGAAGACGTGGGCCCAGCAGATGCCCCAGGGAACTGGGGGGTGGGGGACCAACGCTGGGGGTGGTGCGGTAGGGGAAGCAGGGCCTGCTCACCATCCTCAGGCTCGTAGGGGACCCAGTTGTGCTTGGTGTTCTGGTGGGTGTAGTAGGAGTTGCGTTTGGCACACTGCTGGGCACGGAAGTCCTCATAGGGCCCCGGGCACTCCTCACTGTTGCAGACCTGGTACTCGAACATGGGCCCTGAGCACGAGCGGCCTCCATAGGCTGGGCTGGGGCAGACACAGAGAGACCGATGACCTTGCTGGCTGGGAAGGTGAGACTGAGGAGGGCTGGGGAGGGCTGGGCGTCCATATGGCCACCAGGGGCAGTTCAGCCTTTTGGAGTAGCACAAAACAAGGCTCCACTAACTTATAAACTGGAGAGTGACCCCCGCCGACTGCTCCCTGACTGCTCTACCCTTCCTCCTATTCCACTATGTGTGCATGTGTGTGTGTCAATAAATGACCCAACTACTCCTATTTATACCCGCCTCCATTTACTACCTTCAAACAATAAGGAGTGGTAGAGAGACACTTGGGTTTGGAGTCAGAAGAGCTGGTTTCTGAGTCCTGGCTGTGCAGCCTTGGGCAAGTCACTTAACTTTGCTGTGCCTTACTTTCCCCTGTAAAAGAGGGACCACAATACCCTTTCCTTTACCTACTGCCTGGCATGTCTATGAAGAATAAATAAGAAAAGGTATTTTAAAGCCATCAACACTTCCTTCTCCATTAAGTTAAAAGGGCTGGGTAAGATTATTGAAAAAAGCACCCAAGTGCATGAAGTTAATAGTACCCAGCTCACAGAGCTGCTAGGAGAATTACATGGGCTTATGCACCCAAGTGGGGCCCTGGTGGCACAGTGCTTAAGAGGTTGGCTGCTAACCAAAGGTCAGCAGTTCAAATCCACCAGCCACTTCTTGTAAGCCCTATGGGGCAGTTCTACTCTGCCCTATAGGGTTGCTATGAGTCCTAATCAACTCCACGGCAATCAGGTTTATGCACCTAAGTGCTTAGCATCGTATCTGGCACAGAGAAAGTGCTCACTACATTGTAATAATAATCATTATAACAACAGCTACCATTTATTAAATGCTTAATCTGTGCTGCCATGGTGTTGAGAGTACACATATTATTTCATTTAAACTTCATAAAATAAAAAGTTATTGCAGAGGAGGACCACAATAAACGGTAGCTCTGGCCAAGCAGATAACTGTTTGACCTGGCTGTGAGGGCTGGTTTACTGGAGCAGGCACTGCTGCGCCTTTCTGCACCTTGGCCTTTGTAACACCCACAGGTGGAAGTTACAGGCAGCTCACTTTTGCTCATATTTCTAACAGGTCAATATGGCCATCTGACAAAGGAACAGCTTGCTTCAACAGCTAGTGAGCTGCCCATCTCTGGAGGTAAACAAATGGCATAAATGGCCATTCCTGAGGCTGCTGGGGGGAGGATGACCGCTCTATAGCCACCGGGATTCCAGAAGTCTGGAGTTCTGCTGTACTCAGCCCTCAGCATTGTGAAAGGGTCGGGCCGTGTCCTGTCTGTGTGGAGGTTCAGAATCCCTCGTTTCTGGAGCCTGGGCCAGCCGCCATCTCTCATGAGGCTGCTCTGAGCAGGCTGCTTCAGTTTGGGAGACGGAGGCCATGGAGGACTAGGGCTGAGAAGTTCTAAAACATGGAGCGGATGAGGAGGGAGAGATGGACTTCTCCCCAGAATGCTGAAATTTGGAGAGGTGGGAAGAGGATTTCATGTTAGAAAGAGGGAAGTTAAGAATAATGAAAACAAGTTTTGCTTCGTGTGGTAGAGAACAAACTGAGGGGAGTCATTCTCTCAGGGCATGGCCACTGAGAATTAAAAAAAAAAAAAAAAATGAAAACACCGTTGCTGTCGAGTCAATTCCAACTTCTGGCGACCTCATGTGTTACAGAGTAGAACTGCTCCATAGGGTTTTCTTGGCTGTAATCTTTACGGAAGCAAGTTATCAGGCCTTTTTTCCGTGGCGCCGCAAGGTAGGTTCAACCTTTAGGTTAGTTGTTGAGCGTGAACTGTCCCAGCCAGCAGCCTTACTGAGAGTTTAGATCAGTGTTTTCTCAATGTTTAGCCTGGAACCCTGGTGGCATACTGGTTAAGAGTTCAGCTGCTAACTAAAAGGTCAGCAGTTCAAATCCACCAGGTGCTCCTTGGAAACCCTGTAGCGCAGTTCTAACCCTGTCCTATAGGGTCACTATGAGTCGGAATTCACTCTACGGCACTGGGTCTGGGTTGTTTTGGTTTAGCCTGAGGGCCAGATCACAAAGGGTTTGTTAAACAGGCGGACTCCTGGGCCCACCCGACTCTCTGGGGAATCTTCTGCACACAACTAAGAATCTCTGGCCCAGACACATTCACGGACGTCGACCCAATGGGTCATTAACCAGTGCAGGTGGCAGTGATCTGCCCCCCACATTTTTGGGTCCTCACCCATTAGAATGCACAAGCACCTACATCCTCCCTTGCCCCGTCCCCTCAGTGCCTTCCCCCCCAGCCTCTCACCCTTGGGAGGGGTCCCTTGGCCTGCCCGCCCAGCCAAGCACACTCACGGGGGGCTGTCACAGCTCCGGCTGCGGGATTGCACGCCACTCCCACATGACCGTGAGCATGATCCAAACTTGGTCCACGAGCTCCAGCCTCCATCCTGGCCGTACATCTGCTCCGGAGACTTCCAGATGCAGTAACCTTTGAAGCACCACTGGGGTGGAGCAGAGGGTGTGAGGTCATCCGGCAGCTACTGCTGCCTGGCCTGCCATGGAGAGGGCCCACGGGCACCCAGCCTGGCTGGTGGGCACCAGGGGGGAGCCCAAAGACAGGGGAAGGGAAAGGGGCGAGCAAGCTTTGAGAGGAGAGATTAAGAGCACACTTTGCTTTTGGTTAGACAGGAGTCCAGTCTTGCCCTGAGCTGTGCACACTTCGGCAAATGGCTTACCTTTCTGAGCCTATTCCTCAACTGTAAAGTGTAGTGTTTTACATAGCCCTCTGTAAATGGTAGTCCGAAAACCAAACCCATTGCCTATAGGACAGAGTACAACTCCCCCACAGGGTTTCCAAGGAGCGCCTGGTGGATTCGAACTGCCGACCTTTTGGTTAGCAGCTGAGCTCTTAACCACTACGTCACCAGGATTTCCGTAAACGGTAGTGGCTATTATTAACGATGATAACAAGTGTGCAATTATTTGTTCATCATCTCGAGAGACTGGAATAAAGTGCTAGTGGGAGAGAGAAGACACAATCTCCCCACATTATCGGGAGTTGATCTTGGCTCCATACCTCGAAATCACCTTCCAGAAGCCACTGGCAGCCAAGCCTGTCATATGGGGAGGGAGTATGTGCACTCGAGTTAGAGACAGGTTCGAGTCTCAGCTCGGTCACTTACATGCTGTGTGTGGCTTTGGCATAATTTACTTCACCTTGCTGAGCCTCAGTTTACACACTTGTTAAATGTAACTGTTTTAAACACTAAAGGCAATAACACCCACAAAGCACTTGGCACAGGGCCAGTCTCGAAGCAGGCCTCAACCGGAGTCAACTCTCCTCCCCCTTCCTGCAGGGCAACAGGGAAGAAATACAGAACTCTGTCTTTTTCAAGAGATTTTCTATAGGGTCGCTGTGAGTCAGAATCAACTCCACGGCAATGGGTTTGGGTTTGGGTTTGGGTTTTGTACTTAACCTTGGAATCACCTTGGGAGCTTATAAAACTCTAGCTGCCTGGCCTTCACCCCAGACCAATGTAGTCAGAATCTCTAGCGGTAGGGATTTTTCAAAATGCTTTAATGAGGTATAATTTACATACCATAAAAGTCACTCATGTAAGTGTACAATTCAAGGATTTTTAGTAAATTTACAGAGTTATGCAACTATCATCACCACCCAATTTTAGAACATTTCCATTGCCCCCCAAAAATCCCTCATGCCCGTCTGCAGTCACTCCCTGTTCTGGGTGGGTGGGGGGATTTTTAAAGCTACCCAGAGGATTCCAGTATGCAGCTAAAACTGAGAATCACTGATTAGCTGTTATGTCAAATTGTGGCTGGAGAGCGCCTGGAGCTTTGAAAATGCCTGGGAAAACTCAGGAGGTAGAAACACCTGTGCAGATGTAACCAGTCTTTTGGCACCAGCTGGCCAGGGGTAGGGCTCACAGGAGCAGGAAAGGCCCATCCCTGTGTCAAGGGGTACACCCCCAGGGCAGGCATGAGAGGGAGGTGCCTGTGATGAGGGCAGAGGGCAGGCAGGAGGGGGCGAGCAAACTACAGCCACCTGTGGCTGGGCTCACAGCTGATGCTGAACCATAATCGTGCCCCTGCCTCTTAATGTCCCGTATCTTCAGAGCTTGCAGATGCTCTGACATGATTCAGAACTGAGAGGTGGGAAGGATGCCTGGTCAGGGGTCCGTGGGTCTGGAGGAGTCCAGTGACTGGCCCACACAGTGATGGAGGGCACAAGGGCAGGGCCAGCAATATTGCAAAGGTGATTCTGGACCCCAGCTCAGGGCTCTCGGACGCAGCCATGACGTCCCCCTGGTAAATGAACCCCAGCACCCACACATGCATGAGAGAGCAGCACGTGCCAGGAAATACGTGAAAAGGCAGATGTGTGTGTGCTGGGGGGAGGAACAGAGGCACATGTGTGGGAGAAACAGACATAGTGTGAGAAGGGGGTGGGAAGGTTGGCAGGGCACCTGGAATGTCCCCTCCATCCCTTCTCTGCTATTGACTCCCTGTTCTGTGACCTCAGACAAGTTCCTTGAGCTCTTTAGGCCTCATTCTCCCCATCTGTAAAATGGGAGTAAGCATGCCTGCCAAATGGACTATGAGAAAATGTCAAACTTGGCAAAGAACTAGAAGCAAAGGACTGCAGGGTTAAAGGGCATGGAAGCGCATGAAAGGAAAGGGCATGAGTACATATGAGTACATGTGAAGGCTCCATGCATAACTATCTGTACTCTGGGTACTCCCCTGCTCTCTAGCACTGCCCACCCCCACATTTCATTTACACACTTAGTGGGGGGCAGTGGGTACCCTGGACCTGCACCCCAGGAAGGGTCCCCTGCTGCTGCCCAGTCCCGCAGGTACCTTGCCTGGCGCGCACTCGGTCCCGTCCAGCGGGGGCCCCTTCTTGGTCTTGCAGAAGTACGGGTTATCAGGGTGGCTGCACCACAGCTGCCTGCAGGGCTCAAAGGTCCTGAACTGTGTGGCAAGGGGAACCAGGGTCACCAGGCTGGCTGGCTCTGCAGCTGTGGCCAGGTGTCCATGGGGGTAAAGGGCAGTGATGGGGAGAGGAGGGTGTGATGGGTGCTGGGGCCCAGTGCACTGCGAGGCAGGCAGAGGGGCCCGGCAACCAGAGCCCCACACCCTCAAGCTCAACTCTACCCCAAGTGCCCACGGCCTAAAGCAACCCCCGTCCCCTCCAACAGCGCATGGAGAAGGGACCCAGCCACAGCCCAAACTGCCCTGTCCCCTTCCTAAGCCCTTCCTCCCTGCCTATGCAGAAACCTCTCTGTAACTGATCTGGGACCAAGGTTTGGGGCTCTGGGGAGGTCTAGGCCCACCCACAACCCCTGAGCCCTGTGTGAGTGGGAGGCAGTGAGGGGCTGCAGGTCGCAGCACCCAGACAAAGGTTGAGGACACCCAGTGATGGCAGAGGGTGGTAACCATATGCCTCAGACTGTCCAGGAAAGCCTCGACTGCCTTAATATTCTCTCCTGTGATTCCCTGCCAGCCACACCAGCATCCTACAAATACCAGCATTTGGGCATTTAAACCCCATGTCCCAGGCTGTTTCTCCACCCCGAAGCAGTGCTTTGTCACACCATGTGTCCCAGTGTGGCCTGGACAGTGGGGAAGGTGACTACTCACAGGGGCTCCTTGTGGTACCAGCAGGGCCTCCTGCTTCTGCAGGGGTGAGGAGGGGCCTGCATTTCCCAGATGGGGACTTGAGGCTCTCAGGTCACCAAGGCCCGCCTCCTCCAGAAAGCCCCACCCTGAGATGTCCCTTCTCGGAGCCTCAGCCCATGCCTCCCGGTCAGTGGCTGTTCTATCCTGGGCTGCTCTGTCTGATGCTCTGGCTCTCCCCTGCCCGGCCTTCAGGCTAGGGACAGGGTTGTGCCTCCTGGTATCTATCTCCCCAGGCACAGAGGGGAGCATGGAGTTGGCCCCCTGGAGAGAAGACAGGTGCGGGTATAGGGGAATTTCACTGGGGTAGGGAGTTAGCCCAAACATCCCACTAAACCCCTGAAGAGCAAGCGGTGGAAACAATTCCTCCACCAGGCCAGAGCCCAGCACCTGATCCGACACCCAGACTGCCCTGCAGATAAGTCACCAGCCCAGTCAGGCTCTCCTCAGCCCACTCTGTCCTACCTGGTTCACATCTTTCCCAGGGCAAAGGCATTCTCAAGCCACTGCACACACCTGCCCCCGACAGGTGCACCTGGACAGAGCACAGACGGGGCTGGGACCTGTTCACCCTGCACCCCCGTGGGGCCTGGCCAGCCCATCACCAGGCCACTAGGCCGGCTGAGTGGAAGGCGCTCTGTGAATGCCCAGCCTAGATCACAGGATATGGCCCTGGCAGAAGCCGTGGGCACTCACCGCCGCGCAGGTCTGGTACCCGGTGCCAAAGTCAAAGCGGCACTGCTCATCCATTGAGTAGTCGATCCCAGGCAACTCGGGGGGCCGGGGCCAGGCTGGCTCAAAGGGGTCATCCAGAAGACAGTCGTAGGAGCTGCCAGCAGAGACGGGGTGAGCCAGGCCCAGAGCAGAAACTCCCAAGCTCTCCTTTCCTAGGGGCTGGGGGGTTTCAATGAGCAAGGAACAAGGAAAGCCTGGAAGAGCCACTGGCATCGTGCAGCCACTGGCCCTGTGTGGAAGCTGGTTCTCCAGGAGTGGGTTGCCCTGAGTGCCCCCACGCCCACTCAGGACCTCGCATCCACCAGCGTCTGTGTCTGGAGGGGCGCCCAGGGACTAGGGCTAAGGCTTGGCTTGCAGCTGTCTTAGGGGGTCAGTTTTGCCCATGTTAGAGGGTTCCACTACAGCCAGGATGAAGGTTGCTTTGTGGACAATTTGGGGACCCACTTTGCATGGAGGGGAGAAGAAAAGTCAGCTCCCACTCAGGATGCACACTGGGCAGGTACCCTGCCCACTTCTGCCTCCACCCGGCCCCATGTAAATCCAGTCTGGTGCCCATTCTCAGGCCTCCTGAGTCTAAAACTTGTCCTGTACCTCCACCTCCCTGGAGGCCCCCAAAGTCGATCAGCAAGGCTGGGAACTGAGTGTGTGCTACTGGGGTTAAGGCTGGGGGGCTGAGGGGGACAAGCCCCTTCTCTGAGGCCTTGGGGACACAGTGGTACCCTATCCCCAGCCCAGCGGCTCCTAAAACTTCAGTGTGCATGAGTATTGCCTGAAGGGCTTGATGCATCCAGATTCCTAGGTCCAACCCCAGCAAAGAGTCTAATTTAGCATCTTGGATGGGGCAAGGGGATCTAGCTGAATTTTTAACAAGAATTCTATGCAAGTGGTCCCTAAGCACGCTTTGAAGCACTGGGCGAACCCTCCTGGGATGCTAAAGGGGGTGTTTTAGGCCAGGTTGGGTATGGGGTGGAGGGGGACTAGAAGAGTCACAGAAGGGTCAAGTAAGGCAGGGGGGTCGGTGGATGTGGAGGTGGGGGATGACTTGGGGCAGGCAGCCAACTGCATGGCCTCTGCTCTGAGCGGCAGGCTGCAAGCCCCATCCCGGCCCCGAGGGCGGAAGTGACCTACGGGAGGTAGCGGCTGAGCTCCAGCTTGCTGCAGCGGGACCAGTGGAAGCGGTGAAAGGCCGCCTGCACCAGGGGCGCCATG